GAAATTCTTTCTCTGACATTGTTGTTCTAACATGTCTAGAACATTCCAACAAAATTTCATAATTTTTTGCGAGTTCACTTTACTATTTTAAATTGATTTTACAAAATAAGTCTGCGCACCTGCTACAGTTAAATCCGGTGTCAGACCGGACCTGCGTCGACCGGACATGTCTCTGGACGATTACTCAACTTTGGCATCTCGCTTCTCGGTCGCACGTACCCGTCGGCCCGAAATTCACCTGTGCATCCGACCGTTCCGCTCCTTAACGGCTAGTTCTGTTTTTTTGTTTATTTTAATGTTTTGGGGGGAATGTTTTTTACTTGGTCTTGTGGGCGGTTGTTTCATGAGCCTATCATTACTACCCCAGTTGCCCTCACTACCTCTAAAGGTAACTCAGAAATAGTATTTAAACAAGTTTATTAAGAGTTTTAAACAAGGGTTTAAGTGAGTTATTAGTGTTTGTTTGAGTTTGAAGATTTATTTTCCAAGTGGATGGCTCATCTTTTGTTTGGGCCTTCATAACTCCATCTCCCCATCAATTAGATCGTAGGAGAAGTTTTCTTAACACTCAAGTCATAGTTTTTTTTTATAATTATTGTGTGGATTATCATTTTCTATAAAGCTAAGATTTATATGGGAGTTTTTTGATTCTGATTTAACTCATTTGCTTTGCACACACAACCATTTGAGCTTATTGTTATTTGGCAATACATTATGATAATTGCGCGTTTGTGTGGATAGTGTGACATATGAGTTGAGCCTAATGAGTTTCTCACCTTGTTTAGATGAGAACAATCATTTGCTATATTGTGCTTAATTGTTGAAATCACTTTGTATACACTTGTACACCGATGTGAGGAGTGTGTGGTAGAGAGTGCGGGATCGTCCCAAGAGGAGCTGGCGTCGGTTGAGACGTGCCTACGGACGAGGTTGTAACGAGCACTTGAGGGCAGACACGGCTAGTCCAACACTTAGTGCGGTGGAGTGGTGATTGCTAAGAGTGTGAGCTTGTGTGAGAGTTTTCGGTGACTTAGTAAACCGAGTGGTGTAGAAGCTTCCGGCTCTCCAAAACCGGCAGGGTTCCATAGTGCGCAGTATCTCCCTCGAGGTGGGGAGCGGGGACGTAGGTCGTGAGGCGGACGCGAACCTCGTAAACATATCCTTTGATTTAGTGTTCTGCATTGGCCCGCACT